ACATAGCTAAACTGTTTGAAAGATTGCTGCTGAGACATCTCCGTCCGTGCATCCAACTTTGGGCGGAGCAGCACGGATTCACGAGGGGTCACTCCACAGTCACACAACTGACTAGAGTGCTGCACCTGCTTGCGGCTGAGTACAATCGTGGCCGCATATCGTTGGGCGTCTTTCTCGATATCGAGAAGGCGTTCGACCGGGTGTGGCACATAGGATTATTATACAAGCTGGAAGAACAGACCAGTGTCCCTCCTGCTATGTTGCGGTTAATGGCGTCTTTCCTGGAAGACAGGAAGTTCTACGTCTGCGTAGAGGACGCCGAGTCCGCAACAAGAACCATCAGAGCCGGCGTCCCACAGGGCAGCTGTTTGTCTCCAGTCCTGTACGCGGCTTATACCAATGATATACCTACCCTGGCAGGCAGGCTTCAAGAGTGGGAGGACGAGGTTGAGCTGGCGCTATATGCGGACGATAGCGCCTATTTCACCTCGTCCAGAAGAGCCCACATAGCCACTGTCAAGATGCAGCGTCTGCTGGACCTGCTGCCACCATAGCTGGAAGAGTGGAGGATGGTCGTCAACGTTGGTAAGACGACCGCTCTGCTCACTCGCCGTCTCAGGAAATTTCCACCTCCGCTGACCCTCAACGGCCAGAAGATTGCGTACCAGAAGGCTGTAACCTACCTTGGGTGCAGGATCGACAGGGCGCTGCGCATGACCGCGCACGTCGACGTCGTCGTCCGCAGGGCCCGATGTGCGCGGGCGACGCTCTTGCCGGTCCTGCTCCAAGCTGCCGATAAGAACCAAGATCCGGATATACAAGATGTATATCCGGACTATCATCACCTACGCTGCTCCGGCCTGGTACGCACTTCTGAGCGACCCTCTGAGGCGGCGACTACAGGCCCAGCAGAACCTGACATTAAGGACGGTCGTCGGAGCAGGTCGCTACGTCCGGAATGACGTAATAGCGGCCGACTTGAAGATCATCATCATCAAGAACATCACCGACTTCGTGGCCCGGCTAGCGCGCGGCATGTTCGACCGTGCCGACAACGGGCCACACGAACACCTCAACGGCTTTGCGCCGTTGCACACTCAGCCACCGGACGGGCGACCTCTTCCAAGAGAACTCCTCTCTATATGTGATTAGAGAGTTGAGTAACAACCCACAATGCCGCTGAAAGGCCAACCCAGACTTTATCAGATAACCTCCTTTTTCCGTAGTCGGATAACTACGGAAAAATATATTTTTTACCATCACGGAGAAATCCGTTAATTCTATCTAGTCTAGAATAGACTACAAGGACTGTCCCATAGCCATGGGACATGAGGAATACCCGGGCAATGGGGGCTACCCCGAGGCCCGATACCTGCATGTCACCTCGGTGCATGTAGACGACAACACGAATGAAGGGTAGGCGTGGCCCCTAATTAGGTAAAATTAAGTAAGTAAGTAAGTAAGTAAGTGTTTTGTCCTGCTAAGTCTAGTTACGTAACTCGAGTTTAGTTCAAGTTGTGTGAATTTGAACTTGAGTTAACTCGAGTCTTAATTTTTCCAAGTTAGCACATCTATAGGATGCAACATCGCTCATTAAAAACATCAAAGCTTATGTACGATATATCGATCTTTTCGATGTTTTTTATCATCATTTAAATAATATACAACATGTAACATAACTAATGCACTTTGAGAAAGTAGTTTGTTCAGAATCGTTTACTGAATCGATTCCTATCATTTTTAACATAGGTAATTTTTATCCCAAAAATAATTAAAACTACGTAAATTACAGTCACACTAAATCTGTACAGTCAAAACAAACTGAAATGGACCGTAACTTAAGGCAATAAGATTTTAAGAGTGCAGTTTTATTTGTATTATTACTAATTCTGTCATTCAATAAAAATAAAGAAAAATGAACTTCATTTCAAGCACGTTAAAGTCTTTGCGTTCGTGATTTGTACTGTGACCACAACATTCTTCTGGAATTAGTATAACTAATTTGATAAATAATCAGTGCATAAAAATGTTTTACTAAAAATTCAGTGTATGTATTATGATTATAACATAATATACTTATTGGGGTGTCTGAGGGCGTGCGTTAATTACGTTACATATTGTATACATAGAGTCGGGTCAGAGGAACGCCACGAAACTGCGATGCTCCGCACTTAAAATTCGGGAAAGTGGGGGAAAAAGTGATCGAATAAAAGTGTTTTTGGTCTTAAAATTTGTATCTAAACGAGACCTATGTTTTGGTGTTTTTAAAAGTAGCAGGACGATATTTTTTCGAACTTTTTCATGTGAAAAACCATTTTTCCTTATATCACTTAACCTAAAAAACTTTTTTCGCTGGTAAATCTAAAAAAGGTTTTCGCTGGTACACATAGTTTTTTTGGTGTCGTTTTGTGCGTCTTGTGATCCTCCAACTTCCCATCAAATATTGGAATTTCTGGAGTACGCATCTCCAAGTTTTGGTTGTTTTTACTAAAACCACGTGGTGGGCCCTCTTCGGATCCAGACGTCTCCGGAAAATTTTGAGCCGCTTCAAAGGGACCTGTGCTACAAAACACCGTATACGGTTTTAGCCGGAAATCATTATCTTGGACTTTACCAGCCTATTTGCAGTTCTTTCCCAAGTATGTACTGTAAATTTAAGCAATTATTGCAATAAAATTATGAGTGATAACCTATTTTTAGTGACTATCAAGTGCATCAACTCTTATAGAATAACAGTGCAAAATTTCAGATATTTTTTGAACAAGTACTTTTCTTTTACATAACTTCAATTTCTTTTAATTTTTTTATATTCATATTATTCCTTTAATTTTTGATTGTATATTATCTCTGTACATTAAAAGTGCACTTTTTAAAGCAAAGTATATATCAATAATAGACATTTTCATTTTTTTAAATAATTTATTATTTTCGTATTACCAACTTTTTACATTGTATTATGTGTGTTGAGTGAAAATGGCGCCGTCACAGGGCGAACCCCTCCCCCTCCCAGCTTCGGCCGAGGAGGTTAAAGACATAGACAGTTTTTATATGGTGATAAGCAAACTTGCCTCCTGCATCAGTACCGCGGTAAACGAAGGGAAGAGAGTGACCGCGGCTAATACGCGACTTATTAGCCAAGCTGCTGAAGAAATTAGAACTGCCACACGATCTCTCGTTTCCATCAAGTCTGTCGCCTCCTCTAGCACACCAACATCAAACAGCGAGTTAAAGGATGACATCCTCCATGTGTGAGGAGGAGATTCCAGTGTTAAAAAACTTGTCTCACCAACAAGCCCTCTTACGCACAAACAGCAGCAGCGACTCACGGGGCTCCTGCACCTGCTGGGCCAAACGCCCTCTGCAGCTCCCCACCAGCGACTAAACCGGCGGTCATAGTGAGCCCGACTATCGAGGTTAAGACACGCCAGGAGGCTGTGGAATTATTTAAAAAAAACTTTAATTACCGGAATGCCAATTACGCACCGGCTCGTATTCAGCCTGTGTCCAACAACAAGCTGCGTGTCGAGTTCGACACGGAGACTCAACGCAATGACACCCTAAAAAGGCTCGAGGGAAAAACTGAAATTAAGGCTGAACCCGTACGGAAACTTAGACCCATGGTTATATTAAAGGGAATATCAAAAGATGTTCCAGCAGACGATCTTACAAAAATTATTAGACAGCAAAATGAAGAAATTAACGAAATTATCAATGATGATGGTGAGGGCCTCAAGCTAAGATTTAAACGGGATGATAAGAACAATAACCTGTATAACGTGGTTCTTCTAGTTGATCCTAAGGTATACAGCAAAATGTTAACAATGGGACGTATCAGCATCGATCACCATGCGCGTCCATGTTGCTAGTTTCTTGCCGTTCCTCCAGTGCCACAGGTGCCTGCAGTTCGGACATATAAAATTAAGGTGCACTGCGGACCAAAGCTTCTGCTCACATTGTGCGAGCACAGAGCATGATGTGAGCAATTGTCCTAACAAGGATAAGACCGACAGTGCACACAATACGCGTTTCAACACTAGACTGGACACTAAACACACGGCTAACTCCAACACCTGCCCACGTTTGCGAGCCATGAGGGAGAAGATAAATAATCGTGTCGACTATGGATACACACAATAAATTAAAAAATTTACAGCGCAACCTCGTCAGATGTAAGAATGCACAACATGAGATTCTTCTCTCCTTTATGGCCGGTGATTATGACATCGCCCTAATCTCCGAGCCATATATTGGTTCTGGAGAAAAGGTAAAATCAACATTTGGAATTGACACATATCAATTTTTCACGGGCAACAAGATTAAGGCCTGCATCCTGGCAAAACCAGGATGCGGATCCATCTTGGGACTATCGCAATACTCTACATCCAACTTCTGCGCAATAAAAATTACGTTTTGTAATCGCAATATTTATATTGCGTCCATTTAAGTGGAGCCCAATATTGACGAATCAAATACGCTCGATAAGCTTGACGTCTTTCTTAAAAATACAGGCTATTCTCATAAGATAGTGGGGGGCGATCTCAATGGGTGGCACCCGATTTGGGGAAGCGTAAAATCAAACCCAAGGGGCAACGAAGTTATAGATATAATACACAGCAATGACATGTATGTATGCAACGTTGGTAACATCCCTACGTTTGAAATGGTCACCCACTGGCGAGATCGCTCTTCAATAATCGATCTACATTTGCTTCCGGCTCTATTATCGATAACATCTTGGAGTGGCGTGTCAACTTGAACATTTCCCCAATTTTCCAGCATAATGCAATAAACTATTGCATCGACACCACACACACATATCAAAACTCCACTTTCCTGTACAAATCTAATAAAGCTTGTTGGTCTATCTTTAAGGACAAATTGCAATCACACACACACATGGCACTCACAAACAAACTCGAACATGACATTTCTACCCTGAACTAATGAAATGAAAATGAAACGAACTAACCAATACGATCAATTCTTCATGTCGAGCCAGCATGCATGTTAAAAGCCGGGGAACAAAGCCCAAGGCTTCTTGGTGGACGGAGGAGTTGGAGACTCTCAAGCGGGAGGTGGTGGGTTTACACCATCAGCTCCACGCTCCCAAGCGTCAGGGTATGCCTCTGGAACATATTTTAGAAACGAGGAAACAAAAAAAGGAACTATACGCCAACAAGATGCGTGAGGAGTCGACTAGGCATTTTCGTGAGTTTTGCGAATTGCAAACTAAGGAAAATGTCTGGTCACTCATGAACAGACTCCTCAAAAATGCCACCCCTAGGCACCCACCAGTCACCCTCAATAGGGGCTCCACCTACACCACAGACAGCCAGGAGACTGCCAAAGCACTCCTTCACCACTTCTACCCTGATGACTCACCAGACACCTTAACGTGAAATCACGAGCTCAGATCAGAAATGACCGACCTTCCTCAGTCCCACGATGACCCTCCCTTCACCCAGGAGAAGGTGTTAGAGCGCTTAAAACAAATGAGCCCCAAGAAGGCTCCCGGACTTGATAACTTCACATCCGACATATGTCTGCAATTTGCAACAGATTACCCTAGACTTCTGACAGATATACTGAACCGTTGTCGTACATGGAAAACAGCATACGTAAAAATTATCCCGGAACCGGGCAAGTCCGACTACAGCGCATTAGAGTCCTTTCGTCCAATAGGACTTCTACCTGTGTTTGGCAAACTGTTGGAAAAGCTTTTTATTAAAAGGGCCGTATACCACGCGCAGCGAAACAATCGACTAAACAAACTTCAGTTCGGTTTCCGGGAACAGAAAAACACGTGCGAAGCCATTAACACAGCTCGTAAAATAATTAAATTAGCCAAATCAGAAAAACACCTCAGCATCGCGATATCTCTAGATATTAAAGCAGCCTTCGACAACGCTTGGTGGCCAGCACTCTTCCACCGGTTGCGGCATATTCAATGCCTTCCTTCCAATTCAGTCTTCAATAGGTAGGCAAATGTTTTATTGTAGTATAGTGTTTTATTATAAAATTGTAATGAAAAACTTTGTGTGAATATAATTTATCTTTCTACGTAAATAAGTTCGAGTAAATACATATTGAAATAATTGTGATTTTCACGCTGCCGACATCCGCTTGATATGTTTTGTTTTTAAAACCTGCCTTTTATATAGAGAATTTTGTATAGATTTTATAATGCCGAACTTCTTCATAGTATTATCTAAATATAAGTTTTAATGGTTTTATGTGCTGCGGGTGGGAGCGGTCGCATGCGACCTCTTGGGATTTGGCGGGTGCATGCGACTGCATGGACTTTTTATTGGGATTGAGGGGCTGGAATAACAATAATGACTTTATAACTTTCACTTGTTTTATGATTTATAAATCCGTTAAAATAGTTTAATTTCGACGTGTAACATTCGCCTAAATATTAGAATATCACGTTTCAATCAACCACTTAATGTTTTTACTTATTGTGTAATCTACATTGGTACTATACTTTTTTTAAAAAAATGCATAAGTCCATACTAAAACTGGCAAGTATAGAAGTGGTATAGCGGAATCCTATTTTTAAATTGTCAAGAACTCGGACGTGCCTACGGGTCACAAACTTGGTCGACACTTATATCGTGATTCTTAGCGTTACTTCGTATGCTAGCTGCAGCAAGCATGTGTTGCGCGCGTTTGTGGCCCTGTATGCGGAATCTATTAGGGGGTAATCAGTGTAGGCGAAAGTTTGTCGACCAAATTGGCGGTATATTAAAAATGGGCCAAATTAAGAGTACCCTTAACCGACGAGCATGTATGCGTAGGTATATGGATATGGAAGAGGCGAGAGAAGTATGTCAGGATAGTGCTAAATGGAAGTCTTTAGTCTCTGCCTACCCCTCTGGGTGACAGGCGTGAGTTTTTATAATAATAATAATAATAATTTTATTTCAGATACAAGCTCCATAATTCGTTAGTAATAAATAATATAAACTTAAAATTAATGTTAATAAATATACAACTAGACACAACAATGCTTATTTTATATTAAATATAACAGCTCTGTTCATGTATGTATGTATGTACTCTCACGCCTGTCACCCAGTGGGGTAGACAGATATTAACGAACATCTGTTTGGCACTAGGCATTACGTGAACTCAGGTTTCCGTGCAAATACGAGGTCTGTTTAAAAAGTATCCCGAATTTTGAATTTCCGAGGGATACGTATATTTGATTTTTGATTTTTTGTAGCCTTATATTGGTACTCATGTCCCTTACTTGTGCTGACAAGATCGGCTATTTTGAATGTTTAGTTAATTTTTGACAGCTGTTTTGCTTGGACATGTTTTGGCTCGTCTTCGATTTTTGCCTATTCCAAAAAATGGATCAAAGAATCTGTAATAAATTTTGTGTGAAAAACAAAATAAAGTGCGCGGACGCATTCCCAATGTTGACTGTGGCATATGGTGCAGCTACCTTGGACCAAAGCAACGTTTATCGGTGGTACAAAATGTTCTCAGAGGGCCGAGAAGATGTGAACGACGAACAGCGTGCCGGACGCCCGAGCACGTCAACAACAGATGATAACATTGATAAAGTGAAGAAAATATTATTGGCCAATCGTCGAATCACCGTTAGAGAAGTTGCTGAGGACCTAAACATATCGATTGGCTCGTGCTATTTGATTGTAAGAATGATTTGGGCATGAGTCGGGTCGCCGCGAAATCCATGCCAAAATTACTCAATTTCAACCAAAAACAGCATCGCGTTAACATTGCTCAGGAGATTTTGGACTCGGTCCGTGACGACCCAAATGTGCTCCAGAGGGTCATAACCGGTGACGAATCATGGGTTTATGGTTATGACGTGGAAACCAAAGCTCAATCATCCCAATGGAAGCTGCCGCATGAGCCAAGACCGAAAAAAACGCGCCAAGTTCGGTCGAACGTGAAGGTTTTGCGCACAGTTTTCTTCGATTGCAAGGGTGTGGTACATCATGAGTTCTTGCCACAGAGCATTACGCTCAGTAAGGAATATTACCTGCAAGTTATGCGCAATTTGCGCGAAGCAATCCGCCAGAAACGCCCGGATTTGTGGAAGAACAAAAACTGGCTTTTTCACCACGATAACGCCCCTGCTCACACATCGTTGCTTGTGCGCGAATATATATCCAAAAACAACACAGTAATGGTCCCACAGCCACCGTATTTCCCAGACCTGGCCCCTGTGACTTTTTCCTGTTCCCAAAACTGAAGAGGCCCATGAAAGGACGACGCTACGCCACGATTGAGAAGATAAAGACAGCATCGAAGGAGGAACTGAAGAAGATCACGAAAAATGATTTTTTTAAGTGCTTCGAGGATTGGAAAAAACGTTGGCACAAGTGCATTATATCCAAGGGGGATTACTTTGAAGGAGACAAAATAGATATTCATGAATAAATAAATACTTTTTGAAAAAATACAAAATTCGCGATACTTTTTGAACAGACTGTGTAGACAAAAAGTGTGCCCTATTTTAGATTTTTTTAATGAAGTGTCGACAACATGCAGCCCATCTGATAGCAAACGACTACTGCAGCCAATGGAAACCTTCAATTAACTTGCAAGAAGCGTACAGATGCGATGTCACTTCCGAGGAATAAGATGAAGTGCTCAAAGCCTGTAATTATACTGATTTTCTATGCCCTTCCAACCGAAACACATTCTTGCTTGCTTGATTCACTCTTGCTCCATTTATATCCATATATCTACACATACATGCTCTTCGGATAACGATACTCTTAGTTCAGCCTGTATTCAATATATCTAAGGCACTCTTCTTATTCATTCTTTCTTCGCGTACAAATAACTGAAACATTCCTTACTTAATTCTGTTCTGTTGACAAAGCTTATTGCAAACCACAATTTTCTCTAAGCACATAATTTCTCAGCATATTAGAGAGTCAGCCATAACATACTTCTTAATGACCGCATTACTATGGCGTTGATTTTACTTTTATGCTTCTTTTGCCACATCCAATTTTCATAATCAATAATTATATATTTAGCTAGGGTTGTTAATTGCCATACGTGCCTTTTTTATACATTCCAAATTCCCATGATAATAATAATACAATAATAATCTTTATTTGCAAGAATGTGATTGTACAATGGTGTTAGAGTATAATTCGTTCTAAATATTCTACCTCAGTGGTGTGCAAATATTAATGGTCAAGTACTCTTAACTTATACAATACTTATCGAATTTTAACAACACAATTTTTTTAAACATTTCTCAGTACATTTGATGATTAATTAATTATGCAATATTGTCAGAAAAATAAATTGCCAATAAGATTGTCCTAAATGTACATGTCATTCACTTGCTCTATCCAAATCCCCTTCTACTCATATTTTACATGTCATTTTACTTTCCTATCCATCAAAACCACAATTTTTACTTCTATCTTGAGTGCTTTCTCAATTTTTACGTCTTCCTTGCATCCACTTTCATTAATAAAAATTGCTTATTGCTTTCTTTTAATGATATTATGTTCATTAAATTAATCATTATCACGCGTTTAATAGCTAACTCACCCATTCTAATCCTCATTCTTAAACTTCCAAACTTTCCAAACTACTGTTCATAAACAGATTAAACACTGACGGGCAAACTACCCACCCTGACTGACAACCATATGGAATATGGTTGTCAGTCAGGGCATATGGTTGTCAGTCAGGGTGGGTAGGGTAGGTAACCTTCGTAAGCCCCATTGAGCATGATACAAGCATTAGAGTTTTATGTATATACCTATTTAGTCCCTAAAAGATATTTAATATATGTATTAACCCAGCTCTCAATCCAAACGAGGATAGTGTTTGTCATAAAGTAACCCTGTTCTTTCATAATTCTTTTAAGCAACAATTATTTAGCATACAGTTTTTTTTTTATATAATCCTACTGTGACCCTTTTTGATTAGACAGTTGGACTATAACAATTTTGCACCTGTTTTCGAGTACGCGCTTAAGTTCCCAGCATAAATTAAAGAAAGTGTATAGCAAGCTTGCCACCTCTTCCAATCCAGCCCTCAGATTTTTAACGAATTTTGTATAATAATAAAATAATATAAACCGTCACGTACCCGTTATCGATGATAGTTTGCTTTTAATTTTATGTATCTGAGGTTTCCATGTAAGTCTATCATCTAAAAATAAGCCAAGGTATTTTTCGCAATTTGACCGTTTGATAATTTGATTATTTATTTTTAGAGGTACAAAGTCTAATATTTTCTTATTTTTTTTTTGCTTTGAATATGATATAATTGGTTTTGTAGATGTTGATTGATGGTATTGTTAGAAGATTGTACTGGAACCATTTATGTATTAAGTTAAAGTCATTTTGCGCGTCAGAGATAATAGTATTTATTGAGTGGCCGAAAT